GGAAAGGGAAACAAAAAGCTACCAGTTTTTACCATTTCTTGCAGCAGCAATAATATTTATCTTTGAATCATTTCTGGGGAGCAAAGAGCTTGTGTTTGCACAGCCCTTGAGAGACATGGTATCAGCAATCCTCATTTCTTTTTTCTCCTTTCTTATTTCTTTTTCTCCATTGTCCTTCAGCTGCTCTCACTCACTGCAAAATGTTATTTGAAGAGTTTTGGGGCACTGCTTTCCACAACAAGCATTGCAGAGCTGAGTTAGGACTTTCTGCCTGTACAGCAGAAAAATAAACTGGGCTAGGGTTTCTTCAGTTCAGCAGTAATGGAGTGGGATTTCTTTTAATTTAGTTAAATACTGTTGCTTGACAGAATGAAATCTGATCTCTAAGGTAGAGATTAAAACTGGAGGACCTAGTGCAAACTATTTGGAGATTTTAATTATTCTTCTGGTGAATTATCCTAATTAAATTTGTCAGACAATCATAGGATATAGCACTTGTGTAGAAACTGATAATAGCTGGCCATTCATCTCCTGCCTAGTAGCTATTATGTTCTCTAGATAAAATTCACATGAACTGGAAAAGCAGCATTCAAAATATTGAAGTTGATGCACAATCACCTAATTAACCTTTTCTTAAGCACTTGGAGAAAGATGGAGTAAGTGGAGAAACAGTGCAATTCACAGAGCTTTTGCCAAATTATGCTGTTGGTCACACTCAGTGTTTTACATGAACACATTTTGCTGCACAAAGAACCTGGCACAAGATATTGTTTGGAAAAGGGAGAGGAGGGAAGACAAAGCAAGGCAAGGCAATGCAAAGACCCTTCTAACTTTTTTCAGTTTGTGTTAACAGATAATTGGCCATCTACTGGACAGAATATTACTTCACCATCCTAATAACTTGGCTGCACATAAGAAATCTTTTCATGCTACAGCTTGGCTTTGAACCTCTTATTAAGAGCAATAAAATGAAAGTCAGTCCATAATTAATTCCCCTCACTAGACTTCAGCAACCTAAAATATGTAGCCTCCCTTGGAATTCTATTAAACTCAGTGGTTTCTGATGGATATTATTTATGCTTCCATGTATGCAAACAGCCACTCATCAAGTTTTTGATAGATACTATTAGGAATTTATATTGTACATGTTTAAGCTTCCATTTCAGACCTCTGTGGTCATATTAAAGAAAATAATTTTTGACCTTATAAACTGTCATTTACAATTTCCTACACCAGCTTTAGTTAGCAAATAGCTTTCTCAGTTGAATTTATTTTTTTTCTGTATAATAGCCAAATGTATGTTACTGATAGAAATAACAGAAAGCAAGAAGTAAGACCAGATTAAAAATACTGAATGGCTGTATTCTAGTTAAGTTCCTTGATAGAATGATTTTGAAAAACAGACATTTTAAAACTTTCAGTAACACAAAAACTCCACATATGTCTGAGAACTAATTTTTTCCCCTATGCAGGATGGCTAGAACCATGGCTCAGCCCTCGTGACAGTGCCCTGTTGCTCCTCCTGAGCTTTCAAACCATATTTGTGGCTCCCGGGAACTTGTGCTGTCCCTCTCCCCATCCTGTCTGCAGGAAGGAAATGAGACAAGGCATAATCGTGCTGCTGCTGCAGCAATCTAGGAAGACCAATTGGAGTCAGAAGATTTCTCTGAGCTCCACTAGGAGACCAAGGAAGTGCCTGGAGAGACACTCCAGAGACACTGCAGAATAAGGGAGGTATAAGTGTAGCTCTCCATGCATGATGTGGCAGTTTTACGTGCGCGCTTTCCCAGGGCACCTGTGTCACGGTTTAAACCCAGAGAACAGCTAAGCCCCAGACAGCCACTCACTCACACCCCCATGGCAGGCTAGAGGAGAGAACTGAAAGATCAAAATTGAGAAAATTCATGTGTTGAGAGGAAGATGGTTTAATAGCTAAAGCAAAAGACACACATGCAAGCAAAGCAAAACAAGGAATTTCCCACTTCCTGTTGGCAGGCAGGTGTGCAACTCTCTTCAGGAGAGTAGGGCTCTATCATGCATGATGGTCACTTGGACAGACAAGTGTCATCACTCTTCCCTCTCCTTCCCCCAGCTTTATATGCCATATGGGTATGCAATATCCCTTTGGTCAGTTTGGGTCAGCTGTCCCAGTGTCCCTTCCCAGCTTCTAGTGCCCCTCCAGCCTTCTCTCTGGCGGCATGTTATGAGGAGCAGAAATGGCCTTGGCTCTGTGTAAACTCTGCTCAGCAGTAACCAAAACATCTCTGTATTAACAACACAGTTTCCAGCACAAATCCAAAACACAGTCCCCTACTTGCTACTATGAAGAAAATTAACTCTATCCTAGCCAAAACCAGCTCAACCTGCCTTTCACCATAATTATTCAGCTAGACCAGTGAATATGGCTCCAAATGTTTATCAACAGCTGCAAACTGATGAGCCATTTTAGATGCAACTGTCCTGAGAACTACAGGTTTGCATGCTCACTGAAGAATTTAAATTTTTTTCACCCATTTATTCACTGAACAATTACTGGACGAGTGTGGGAGGGTGCAGTTTTGAATTCTGGTTTCTGCTCCCCATGATCCAGATGTGTAACCAGCTCATCAGTGAAATGCATTTCAGCCATGGCTGGGGCTGGGAGCTGGGATATCTCCCTGATGCCCAGGGCTAGCCTTAGGCTCCCTGTTCACAGAGTTTCTTATTGCTTCCAGCTCCTGCTGGGGCAATGCACACAAGGGGTGTGGGGGGCAGTCCATAGCCTCAGCCTGACCCTGTCCTGTGTGTCAGGGGACCTCACCTCCCTCTGGCTAAGCAGCTCTTTGCTTTGTCAGGCCTGGCTCCTGCACATCCCAGCCAAGGTCTCCCAAGGGCAGGGGTCTCAGCAGAGTGAGTGGCAAAGAGGGAGCTGAGGGCAAAGAGGGAGGCCCTAATCTCCTGACTTTGTGTCTCTGGCAGCAAGACACTTCATTGCTCACATCAGGACCGTTCTGAGCACAGAGAGAAGGCAAACTACCGTCAACCTCAGCTGATTTAAGTCCACTGCAAAGGTACTTGCTTGGTGCCTGAAGCCTTAAGAAAGTGAGGAGCGGGTGTTTTTATTGCATTTATCCCCATAGACATTCCGTGTCAGTCCACCCTCTCCTTCTTCCTTAGCTCTCCCTTGTTTTCAATTCCTTCCCAGTGACCAGAGACCCAGCTCCTGGTGTGGTCAGAGCCATGGCAGGAAGGAGAACAACCTTCACGTTCCCAGATATGCCCTTCTCTGTACAGCACAACTGCACTGGCTGGTCATGCTGTTAGATCGTATTGCAAATTCATGTCTAATTTGACCCTGAGGTCTCCTCCAGCATAGCTGCTTTCTAGGATTCTCTCTCCCTTTGGATGTCTGTGTTTCAAATTACATTTCCCTGGGTGTACTGTGTTACATTTTCCCATGAATGCCATTATTATTTTCCAGTTCTATATTTTAAATCACACTCCTACATTTTAATCACTACTACATTTATTATCTCAGTTTTCATTGATGTGCTCAGCTCCTTCAGATGTATGAGAGTAAGGACTGTAAAAACAGAATTGTAGTACTATCTGTGGCTTCTTTCTTTGCTATTGCAATTGTCCAGCACCTTTTCTCTCCCTCTATGCTTTATTGAAAGCATTGAAGACTCCCAGGAAATACCCTCTGTGTGTTACAAGCTGTCAGAATGTACTTTTCCCAGCTTTCATTAGTATCTCTTCAGCATCTCTTGCCTTCAGAGCCAGTTTTTAACCAATCCAGCCAGCCCATTTAAAAGTACATGAAGAAAGAGACCTCAGAAACACCAGCTGCCAATATTTCAATGAATTTTACACTGTGAAAAGTTCTTTATTTTCTTAGACAGAATCTATACTGATTTTAGAATATTTTGCAAAGGAGATCCCGTGTGTTATGAGTCATCTGGTTTCCACACATTCCCAGGGTGATGTCCCCTGAGACCTGGAGCCTGCTGCAGCAATCAGTTGCAGAGACAACAACCAGCTGAACCTTACTTACCAGGACTGGACACTAGTTTTAGTGAAGTCAGACTCTAGATTGCTGTTGGCTTAGTTGGAAATTGCTTTGCCTGCAGTTTATTTGACATTAGGCTTTCTCTCAGTTTTCATTACAATTTTGATTTAAATTAATATTTTTATTTTAGTAAGAGTCCACTGTCTAAATTAAGAAAACTGTATTTTCTTTACTCTGAGAGACAATTCTTAAATATTTGTAAGCCTTTGGGTTTTTTTTTTCCTGACTGATCAGAAGGAGATCTCAGGCTACATCTCCCTTGTCTTCTAAAGGATCAAAATGCTCTGCTACTGAAAGTCATGGGCATGGTAGAGTTACTCCTAATACAGAAATTCAGAACAGATGTAACATTGTATTCTTAGAACTATTAAGGCAGCTTTACAGGACAAAACAATAGGGTGGGAAAACCTAAAGTATATGTAATACATCGTAACAAGTTTTAGAAAATTTTGTGCATGTTATACAAGTAGTACTAAAGGGAGGGATAAGACCTAAACTACGTTTTCTGCCACATATCCTGTGGGTCCACAGCTCACACCAGCCATTCTAGAACCCACAATATTTAGTAGCCTTTTGAATTTGCTGTTTCTGAAGTTCCTAGATCAAACATGTGCACTCAGGGCAAGCTTCCTCTGAGGTTTCCAAGGCTCTTGAAAGAGCTAAAATTGCACAGAAAATAGATTCACATAATCTTTGATTTCACTGTCTCAAGGTGCTTTCAAATTTTATCCCAACTCAGAATTAGTTTAAATGCTCCTTGCTATGCTTTCAGTCAAATGTTTCTGTTGAAAATTCAGTATGAAAGTAAGTAAAAAGGAATTATTTTGGAAATAAAAGTGCAAACAAAACCATTGATTTCTCAACACCACATTATTTGAACAATACCTCCATCATAAAAATATTTTAAAAAGCCATCCTCTAATCAGATGAGTTCCAAGAAGCTACCAGTTACCTTCTGCCCATGGTACCGCTCAGTCCAGTCTCGTTTTAAAGACAACCCCATGGCTGGTGGTGGGATGCTGCTGTACTCTTGCTGTCCTATTCTAGTTTTTCCAACACCCAGCAGCGAGGGAGTATTTCAGTGTTCAGGCTTTCCTCAGTGTTGAACATGACTGGGAGGACCAGCAGTATAACTGGAGCACTGGTGGCAGTATTTATCAGTGTATAATCATCTGTAGTCAGGTCCAAATCTCATAATGCATAAAGGCATCAGAGGGCACTGGTTTTGCTTTTCCCAAGAGTCAAATGTTTTGTTCCTAAAATAAACATTAAAAAAAAAAAAAAGAAAAAGAAAAAAGAGAACATATCCCATGATCCCATTCCCACAGGCCAGATTTTATTCTCATTTGCTCTAAAGCCAGGAACATCAATAAAGTGGCACCAGTCCGACTGTGCTTAGAATCAAATTTCTAACCTTGTACTTTCAGATAGCTCACAGCATTGAAATAATGCAGTGGTAACATCAGGTTAAATCCTGTCTCACTAAATTTTGCCAGACTATTTTCCGTCACCTTCAGTGAGGCCAGGATTCTGCACAGAATATTTTGTTTTCTTTGAGGGAAGGATTTGCATTCACTCGTCTGAAGGAAAGTACACCGACTTGCTGAAAGTACTGCCTGTGCCGAGCACAGAAACACCAACAGGAAACAATTGGCTGCATTAATCCTCACTGTTGGTTTTTTAAGTATAATTGCTGAGAATTTTTTCCTCTGACTTTACTTCTCATCTTTGCAAGAACCTAGACATGCTTTAAACATAATCCGTGTGCAGAACAGGGTTAAAATATCACAAACGCAAATCCCTACACTGAGAGACCAGGGACTTGGGGAGAGAAACTGCTAAATGCATCTTGTCAGTCTAGAAACTATTCCATGGCTCAACCTGCTCATTTCAGAGATTTATTTTGCTAGAAAGGATTTTAATCTTCACATTTCAGTTCCTCAGAGGAGGCAAAAATCTTCCAAGTGCAGAGTCTGCAGCAGCGGTGAATCAACTATTGTAATATGCTGCCTCTTAAAATACTTCAGGGTAGTCAGGCATTAGGAAGGCTCCTATTTTGTGTGAACTGATCAAATACAGATGTTGCCAAAGAGTTGACCTTATTGACCGTGACTTAACTGGAGATTGAATGGCAGACAGACGGTCAGTAGTAGGGTGAAACCATGTTTTGGCGGTAAGGCGTAAATGTATATACAGTTTACAGGACGCGAATGACATCAAGCAAACATCTGTTCTATTGATAGATACTTGTTTTACTTCCAAAAATTTTTATCCCAGAGAAATGTTTTGTGTGTATATATATATATATGTATAGAACACATTCTGCCCAATATTGTTAGGTGTCCTGTGTACATGTCGAGGTCCTGGAAAAGCCCTGAAATAGAAAAATATTAAAAATGGTGCTAACTTTTCTTTCTTCCTGCAATATCAGATTTCATATAAAACTCATCAGCTGAGCTGAGTATTAGTCTTGATCAATGGCAGGAAACCAGGGAATCAAATGTTAATAAATCAGAAACAGATATCTCCACTTGAGATATATATCACCGACCTGAAAAATAGGGCAAATTATTTGAAAAATTTATATGCACATACCTAGAGAAAGAAAAGCTTTTCATAAGATTCGTTGAAAGCCGAAACAAAGGACAAATGTGGAGAAAAAGTAACCTAATGAGGTAATGAGCATAGAACATGAAGTCACAGAGTCTTAAAAACACCTTTGTTTTCTTTTGGATTGACATAATAAAAAAAAAAGATTAAATGAAAAGGATTTTGCTAATACAAAACCAACATATTTCTATTTGCAAATTAGCTCTGTCCTACTGCTATGTGCTCATTGGATGAGGGTAGAGAAGTAACAGACTAGGCCTGGTTTAGTGTGTCGTTACCTTTTCTCAAGAGCTAAATAGTAACATCAGAATTATAACAAAAAATGTACACCAGATCTGAAGTGCTCAGAGAGACAAAGTACTTCTAGTATCTTGGAAACTTGTAAAGGCATAAATACTAGCTTTAACTTTAATATTTTAAGGTGTGATGCTTAAGTCTGTTAGCTCAAAGTTCCTCATATTAATTTCAGACAAGCACCCTTGGAGTGTGGTCTTCTCTTCAAATTGAAATTATTTGTTCCTGTGCATAGCCTACTAAATTTAATTAGAAAATCCTGGTAGGCCAGCAGGACAAAATTTCCCTTCCTTCCTATTTTCCCCTTCCACAATATATCACCTAGAGTAATTAGGACCAGCAAGGGATCATCTTCACTGGATTAACCTTAACTAAATTGTATGCATTCAACATGTGCTCTTTTGATTAACTTGAGCCTGGACTGCTGCCTGTGGTACACCCACCTTGTAATTCTACACACTTAATTAATTTCAGATGAATGGCAAAGAGGATAAGCTGAATTCTCCAATTAATAAACTGATATTAGTTAATGTATTTTAGCTTAACTTTTAATTTTCTTCCTGTGTAGGGATAGGAAAAACAGAAAATAGGAGAGGGGTGGAAGGGAATAAGCTTTGCCAACAAGATTGTAATGACTTTTCAGGGCCTGATCCTGCAGCAGTCTAAGCAGATAACTTTCCCCCAAAAAGGAGAGGAATTTTGGCAGAAGGATCAGTCCCTATATTTAAAGTATAAAATGCAATAGGCAGGAACAGGATTTTTTTTCTCTTTCAAAATGATAAATAAGCATTATTTAAAACCTCCTCACCTTAACTCAGTTTTCCATATGGTTTCACTCATGCGTGGGTTTTCCTCCTTATTAAAAAAAAATACTATAATGTCACTGGCTATGGGCCCAATCCTCCAGGCCCTATTCCCACAGGCTAAGGCTATTTTTCTCTTCTCTACTGTCATGGGGAGCTGCCTAACAGCCCCATCCTAGATGCATTTGCCTAGATAAGTAACTTTGCTTTTGAATCTAGCCTTTGTGAATTCAATAGTATTTATCAGAGGAATTGAATTACTCATGTAGAGAACTATTTGCAGGAATAGCTCCTAAGAATGTTATTGGAAGCACGAAGAAACATCCAAAGAAAGACACAAGGGAAAGACTTCCTAGTTCTTTTTGAGTGGAATTTATTCAGTTGCTAATTATTAAGCAGGGCTCTTAATCTCTGAGCAACTTGCAGTGAATACCCAGTTTCTTGTTTTTAATGTGTAGCTCTGCTGAAATTTCTCTCCAGCACTGGTGTGTGTGGTTTCAGTAAAATTGATAAGATTAAAGTGAAATCTGCATAAAAGTATTTTGCTGAAATGAAGATTGGCTGTTCAGTGTCTTACAGTGTCTTACAGGATTGAATATTGAGAGCAAAATCAAGTTCACAGAAGGCAAGATATATACAGTCAGATGTGGTTTTAAAATTAATTCCATCTCTGTAAAAACAATCACTGTTTTTCCTCTCCAGAAATCAATATTCTAATAAATGCTGGCAGAAAAATACAACAATTATTAGCTACATAATTCTATTGGAGATATTTCTAAGGTAGATATCAACAAGCTGTTTCTGCATGATTTATATTGACTGCCAGTACTTGGTTTTTCTGCTAATAAGAGTAACAATAAATAGCTGTAATCAATAAGATGGCCTATCAATACTTTTTGTTTCCTAATTACTATTTGATTACTTCATCCAATCATCAAGTGGTATTTTAAGATTTGTCTACTGTTAAGAGATAGCAAATTATTTTCTGATTATTTGATTAATAATCTTGCAAAAATCACCAGAAATTTATTAGGTAGGAACACTATATAAATTTTTTTCAAACATATAAATAGTTAACAAGCCTTTGTCTCTCTGCAAAATGTGCTTTGACACTTTAATCACTTCAGTAATCTCCCAATTCTTGTGGACACCTTTGACAGCTTTACCTCCCACCTATAATTCTTTAAAAAGAAATCAGACAAAACAGTTTGAATAGCAAAATCCCTTATGAGAAGAGAGGAAGTAATGATAGAAGGTCTTACAGTTGTCAGCATTTTGGGTCATTTTAAAACTATGGAACTTATGCAATTCCTGCCAAATTTCCAACATATTTATTTTGATAAAATTGATTTAAAGAAAAACAAAAAAACCCAAAACAAACAAACAGGCTTACATTTTTAAGTGGCTATTTACAAACACTTGTGAAGACACAAAGAATGATCTTGATATAGAAAAAAGCAACTGAGAAGGCAGAAAATAAAGGGTTGCTTAACACTGACTTACCTTGTAGCCAGTCGGTGGGCGAGATCTTCTGGCCGAACACATTGTTTTTATTAGTGTCAGGTACTTGATTTAAAGTGAGACCTCATCACCTTCCAAGAGACATATTTTTCCTGGAGTATATGCACATATCTATTTATCTATTGAGTGTGAGTGTGTATATACACACACCTTGCAGTAGGCCTGGTTAGTGTCGGCTTGACTGAGAGAGGATGTTAGTAATTACTATTTCTCTAAACACTACTTTAGCACAGTTCAGTGTATCAGCTGGCTTCTGCTGCCAGAGTACCCGTGCTGCCTACTGAAGTGGCTGTAAAGCCAAAAGCCACGCTAAGAGCCATTTCTATCTCCAAGGAACTCAGTGGATTTTGCTGTTGATTCCTGAGAATAGGATTGTGCTCAGCTGTGTTTCAGGGTGTCTGTGGCCAGCAGGGACCATCTTTGTCAGTGTTGTGTAAGAAAGCCCAGGACTGGTGTAGGACATAGGCTGGTTGCTGGACTGGTGTGTGCCATATGAGAGAGATGGAGTCTTACCCACACAACTTAAGCCCACTGAACCAGAGCAGTTGGTCACAGAGGAGATATTACACTTTGGCAGATGCTGAAAACAGCAGTAACAGCAGTTCTGTAGGACCTGGAACTTTCCCCACACCTGCACAGGGATGCTTCTGCAATGGACTTTCTCTGGTTCCCCATTCCTACCTTGTGAATGTGTCATGTGAAGGGTCACCCTGAAACAACAAACGCAAGCTGAGAGCTGTTAATCTAGCAACTGGTGCTGTAAACTCTTACACAACTGTTTTCCCTTTTGTAGGCAACTTTTCTGCTGTTTTACAAACAGATCAAGTGAAGTTCTCTTGAATTGACACAAAGACAAAAAACAGCCTGTGTGCCTTTGCAGTAGAATGACTCCATATTAAGAAGAGCTTCTGGTCTTATATTTTATGAGCCCAGTAAATCAAGACCACTAAGGAAAAATAGGACATTGCTATTTCACGTGGTGTCTGCAACACATATTTTCTCATGCAACACTAACTGAGAAAAAAATA